TATCATTTATTATTTATATTATTTCTTAATCATTTATTATTATATTATTTCTTAATCATTTATTATTATATTTTTTCAATATCTTCAACCAAACGTCCTAATTTAGTCGCATATTTTTCACTTTTTCTAAGTGCTTCTCGACGATTTAACGTTTCCTTAATGCCAGCAGCTCTGATAGAATTAATAGAATAGAATTAATAATGTTAACAATGAAGCAATAAAAAAAAACAATTCACACACATATAAAGAATATTACTTTAATCCGATTTGTTCCATCATCTCGGCATCTTTTATGTTATAATAATCTTGATAAGATACGTTATTTTCCTAAATATGAATAAGAAAAACAATAATTATTACATTATTGAAAACCCCAATTTTTCTTTAAAAAAAAACTTTTTTTGATTAAAAAAACTTACAATAAGATCAATCTTTCTTTTCGATACATCACCAACTAATCTACTAAGTCTACCATCACATTCTTTTAATTTAATTGCATATTCTGTTGTAACGGCACAAGTTTCAGAATGTGCAGCCATTTCATAACTAGGAATCATTTCTTCACAAATACGGCATAACATATAATCATTTGGAGTCTGAAAATATGGAGTTGCGAGACTATGACTACCGATAAGATTATTATCACCTTTAATTTGTACCGAAGAATTACGATGAGATATTGCAGTTGATCGTGAGTCGATAGAAAGAGTTCGAGATTGTTCGTATGGTGAAGGTGGCAAATTCACGTTACGAATAGGACTCGGTTGAATGGTCGATCTAGTCGGAGATCCTGCAGGCGACCCAGCAATAGATGATGAGGGACTCTGAAAAGCATTCTTTAACGACTTAAAAAAACCAATCACCATTTTTGACTATAAAATTAATTAATTAATATTGGTTAATAGATGACTTTTTTTTTTTCTCAATATAAATTACTTAAAGATAAAATATAATAATATAATTAAAAAATATATATATATATAAAATAATATAAATACTTTTTTTGATTTTTTCTTGGATTCAGGATCTACATCTTGTTGTTTTTTTAATATTATACCATAATCAATTTCCCTATTCATTTCTTCATGAATCATTTGATCAACTTGTTCTCTTGTAAAGGTATTCCAAGTACGATGTTCATCCATATTTGCAGGAGGTGGGACATACATTATTGGACTCTCAAATACAGCTTCCATAGCAACTTCACGACGTTGTTCGAGAGAAATTATTGAGTCACGTATTATTGGAGTAGTCGTAACGTGACGAGCCAATGGAGATGAAAATAATGGAGGAGGTAAAAGCGTATGAGATTTTCCATCAAGTTCGGCATAAGATTTACGTCGTTCTTGTATTTGAAATAATGTTCGTGGAGGAGAATATGATGAAGGAGTTAAAGGAAGGGGTGATGGAGATGATAAAGGTGAAGGTAATAACCATTCTTGACCGGCTGTGAGCATATCATCTTTTATTACACCATCACCAGAGAGTTCGGGATTTGTTTCAGCAAAAGAATTTTTCTAAGTTTTAAGTAAAACTTTAATAATCTATTTTGAAAAAAAATACTAATAATAATAATAATGATAATAATAACAATAATAATAATAATAATAATAATAATAATAATATCATTATTATTATTATTAGTTATTATTATCATTATTATTATTATTGTTATTATTATCATTATTATCATTGTAAAAAAAAAAGAGTACATTACCACAGCCTCAACAGCTCTTGCCACATCAGCAAAAACATAAATTAATTTTGTCAATAATTCTTCAGCATCAGCATTACCTACAGCCATTTTTCTTTGAAACTCTATTAGTTCTTGAAGTTCTTTCATGAGTTCGACAGCAACATTAAAATGCAATAAATCGTGAATAGTAGTTTTGAGAATTCGCCGAGCAATACAATCAATTCTTGTTAATAGATGAGTATGAGATGAAGCTAAAAAAAATTAATAAATATAAATAAATATAAATATTAATGATTAATAAGAATTAATATAAATAATAAATGATTAAGAATTAATATAAATAATAAATGATTAAGAATTAATATAAATAATAAATGATTAAGAATTAATATAAATAATAAATGTTTAAGAATTAATATAATAATAAATGATTAAGAAATAATATAATAATAAATGTTTAAGAAAAAATATAATAATAAATGATTAAGAAATAATATAATAATAAATGATTAAGAAATAATATAAATAATAAATGATAAATATAAATAATAAATGATTAAGAAATAATATAAATAAACGATTAAGAAATAATATAAAAAACGATTAAGAAATAATATAAAAAACGATTAAGAAATAATATAAAAAACGATTAAGAAATAATATAAATAAACGATTAAGAAATAATATAAATAAACGATTAAGAAATATATAAATAAATGATTAAGAATTAATATAAGAAATTATAGTTTAAAAAAAATTAGGTATTAGAAAATTTAGAAAAACATACTTAAAATTGTAGGAGGCCAACTATAAGAACGTATCATTCTCCTTTCAGAATTTTTTTTCATTGGAGGAATATTCCTTGGTTTAGTATCACCATGTAAAGATATAGATTCCATTTTATTAATCATTTTATTTTTAAAAAGTTCACGATCCTTTTTTGAATTATTATTTGAAGGAGGCTTAGATGAAGAAGGAAAAGTTTCATCATCAGTATCACTAATAAATGGAATGGGTATAGGTTTACCCAAAACCTTTTGATTATTATTGATATTATTATTTTTTTGAAAATGAAAAGTTACTCTTTTATTATCACAATCGTTAGCACCATCATAATCATCATATAAAGGATCACCAAAAAGTTCTTGATATTGATAAGACCTATACCAATTATCTAAAATATTCTCAATACTTTTATCAGCTCTGCGTTTTGTCTCCTGAAGATCTTTAACAAGTTTTCGTTTAACTTTTGGATAAGTAAATTCAGGGGCACCTTCATCAATGATATGTAAATTACTAAGATGATTTTCTTCAGCGTCGATAGATAAATCAGGAAAAAAACGATTAGCAGGAGATTTTTGAAAAGAAGGTTTACGCCTTACAGAAGAAGAAAAAGTAAAGCTAGATTGTTCATCATTTGTAGCATAAGCATCAGAGTCAGTTTCTAAAGAGTCAGTTTCAGAATCTGAATAAAGAGTACTACTTGAAGGATAAGATTTTAAATTTAAATTTAATAGTCTCTTAAATTGAGAATTTACACTACTAGGACGACGAGAAGAAGTAGTAGTGACAGCGGGAGTAGAGGGAGAAGGAGAACAAGAGACATTATTGATATTATTATTATTGTTATTATGAGAAGATAACGATTGAGATAATTGCGGAGATTGAGAAGAAGATGGAGAATTTAATGATTGATAAAGTTTTTGATTGTTAGATTTTCCGGATAATACAAATAAAGAATGATGCCTTTCTCTTTGATAAAAAGGGAAAGCATGATGATTTGAAGCACCTGGCGATAAAGCAAAATATAAATTGTTCAAAGAACAGCAGCTTGAATTTGAACCAGAATTCAAACCCGAATTCAAACCAGAATTTGGACTAGCATAAGGGGTACCAGGAGTCGAATAATCAAAGTCATCAAATGAAGACCTATTGCTTGCGTCACTCTCGGTAGCCGGGGACATATTTGATTGAGATCGAGGTTTAAATGATAAACTTCTTTTGAGTAAACTTTGACTAGAAGAAGAAGTTGATAGACTTCTACGAGTTCTTCTTTGTTTAGAAAAATGATCTTCGGGACCGATAGTTTGTTGCACGGTCGGAGGAATTATGGGGGAATGAAAAGTTGTAGGGATAGATAGAGAGGTAGGTAGACTACTTGGAGTAAGACGTTCACCCGGAAGGGAACGTGAAGTGAATGGTCTCCGGAGCTCTTTGTCCATAGTGTCACTTGGAACACTATTTATGACTACAGAGTAAGTAAATGTATATATATAGTGGGAAAGATCTTGAAATGGAGATTAACGAAGGTGGAAAAAGGAAAAAAAGAAAAAAAGAGAGAGAGAGATTATTTGACAAAATTTTAATTAAATTAAAATTGTTTTTAAAATTTTTTCCTTTTCAACAAAAATTCTTCAGACTTTCGGTATATAACATTGTAGAGAGGTTTCAATAGTTTAAATAATTTACCGGAAAAGGTTTTGAAGAACTTCGGCCGATTTTACCAGTTCAAGTTTTGATATAAAAAAGCAAATAAATTGCTAAATAAAACATGAAAGATATTTACCGAAATTATAATTCAGAATTAAATTATCCCCTTTTTTATGATCATTGGGACGGACTTGAACCTTTACTTCTCCTTCACTATAATCTTTTTAAAGTTTTATTAATTCACGTATATTTTGATATACTTAATACTTATATGTCAGAAAGACAGACCTAGCAGAACCAATTAAAAGAACATGAAGGAAAAAGCACGTGATAGCACAGATTGGGGTTACACGGCAGGAACAGATAGTATTACATAACAAATCATTGAGGGACCAATATTTTGACATCCATAATAAAATTCAATATCGGTTCTTTATTTCTTGATTAATCCAATAATAAGTTAAGGTATAATTACTTACCTAATGCATTACGGAGATCTATTAAAGTGAAATTTGGAAACATTATTCACTACAAACTATTAATAGTAAATGTACATAGTAGATGTACAGTAGTCATCAAAAGTAACGCCCGATTTGCAGATCACTAAATAAAATGGCTGGTGATGACCCCTTATAACGTTTCCCCCAAGGAAATTTTTTTTTATTCAAGGTGTTGCTCACCTAATAACCTACAAAAAGTAAGAAATTACCCCGTTTTATGCCAAAAATAACCACTTAATTAAACTACATAAGAAATGGAGCGTACATACACAATAAGTTACTGGCTTTT